TGGCATTTCCGATAGTCAACGTCCCTGTTTCATGGAGGCGTCTGCATGCCTGTTCCCCGATTTCTTGAATGTACTCTAAAATACTACGAGCTCGTCGTCCATTGTGTACTATAGAGATGTGCGAGTGCATACCACAGTAGTTGATCACCCGGTTTACTTCTACCTTGCATTGCAATCCAGGCGATTTATCGTAGTCAGACAGCTGCACGAGCTGTATGTAGACTTCCTCTTCCTGTGGTTGCACATCCTCTAGTGACAGTCTCCGACGTCCAGGAGAGAAAGCGTCGATATGTTATATCCTTCGCCGCCGCAATCATATTCGATGAGGCCGTAGGTTAGCGGAGCGAAGATAATTATTAGTGCGAACATCGCGTTAACTACTGTCTGAGTGGTCAAATCCTCCGATGACCAGCTATCCCCTTTTTGATCCTCGTTGGTGGGGGCCAACTTCAGCTTGTCCATATGTACGGTTCGGCTACTCTTACCATTTATTCTTAGCTTAACATTATTATTATTTAATATTTCTATAATCTTATATGATCCAGTGTACTGGTCGCCTAATTTATCTGTGGGTTCCTTTAATAAGACCTTTACATTATTTCCTTTTTGATAATTACATGAGTTTGTTTTCTTATCATAATAATTCTTAGATCAATGTTTCGCTTTTATTAGGTATTTACGTGCTAACGATTGAGTACTTTTTATTCTATCTGCCAAGGCGAATAAATAGTTTGTATAGCTCTCGTTTGCCTGTTCAGTGATCGTTTACTCGTTCGCGGGAGTTCGCGCTAATTTACCAAAGAACTAGTTCATGGGGCGAATAGCAAGTGCCTTCGTGCACGCAAGTATTGTACGAAAAACAAGCTAGATTTAAATGATTGTCCTAATCATGCCTATTTTTTATTGTCTGTTTCAGATACTCCCAGAGAACATGGTAAGAGTGCGGTTCTACCGAGCCATTCGCCTGCGGTCGGTAAGCGGTTGTTTGATATTTCTTAATTTTAAACTTCTTGGCGATCGCTTTCATTAAGCTGTTTAAGAAGTGCGTGCCTTGATCAGTGAGTAGCGCCTTAGGGGCGCCGCATATGCAAATGAAATAGTTAATAAAAGCGTCCGTTACATTAATGGCTCCAGCGTTTGCTAGAGGGATTGCCACCGAGTCATGGTGGAAGGATAACATGGTGTGTGTAGAGTCCTAGATATCAGAGAAGCGCAACCGGCTTAAGTCAGTATCGCAAAATTACTAAGAAAAGTATTAAAAATGGCGTCGTTTGCAGACGAAATATGAAATCCACCAATCGTCTATTAGTCAGCCATTTTTAATACCACTGAGTGAATGTCATGATTGGTTGACAGTCAGCTAATCAGGACGCGGAACATCGGTTGCGCTTCTCTGATATCTAGGACTCTAGGTGTGTGCAGTTTGCAAGCGTCTCTCTCTAATTCTTTGCCCTCTCACTTCTTTCCCGGCACAATTCGGTATGCAATGCTGCCAACCTAAAGACAAAAATCGTTGTTTTTGTTGCACGCACGCATTTAACCTCTATCGGTTTCTTTTTATCATGTACAGTGCCAAGCATTAATTCGCTGGATCATAGTAGTGACTTGACTTATCGACGCTGAGTCGGTAACACTGAATCGCGAGCATGTTTGAAATAAGAAGAGTCACTGACAAACTTGTGGAAATTTATTGCTTTTTTTCCTGTTGTATATAAAATTATATATTCCCGCAGAAATGCATGAATTGTATCTCTGTTATGTTTACACTGTTCTTTATATCTATTATGGCCCGTATTCAGAACGCACTTTTATCGATAAAAGCGCGCTTTTATCTCTGAAATTCTACAGTATACGTGACGTAAACTATAGCATGTTAGCGCGCTAACATCGTTCATCGTTGTTAGCGCGTTTTGAATACGGGCCTATAAATTTATGATTTATAATGTGTTACATATATATTATAAAAATTATATATTGCGCAAATAAGTAGATTAGTATAACGGAGATAAACATACAAATAAAAATGTCAAAGATAACTCAGACAGCACAGAATATTTATGATAAATATTCTGTGCTGTCTGGGTTGTCTTTGACATTTTTAAATAATTATACATAATTATATATATGAGCAATTCTTTTAAATTTCTCCAAACTTGTCCTTTTTCTAAAAGAAAATAATACATTCGATTTTAAGAGAGACTTAAACTATCTGTCTCTGTCTCTCTTTCGGTTTTAATACGAGATAGATAGAGTTTTAAGTGTCGCTTAAAATTAAATAATGTTGTAAAACTCTCAAATGAAAACAATTAATCTTGAAACAGACCGTACTTAAAGCAAAGAAAAGAACAACACATGGATGTGACAAGGATGCATTCAATTCAGATGTAGTAACCTCATTTATTTCTAAGCAGTTGCTAACTAGCAAGCCTACCTGTCGAACTGTATTCCGACTCGAAAGTAGGCGTGGTTTCTGAGTATTGCACACACCATGTTATCCTTCCACCATGCCACCGAGTACTTAGTAAGAAGGTCTTGAATCGTTAAAATATATGAATGTCCTTTCTCTGACGTGGGGAGAGGTCCCATAATGTCCATTGAAATTTTATCGAACCCTGCATCGGGGGTATCGGTTAGTATCATCGGTTGTTTTACTTTCCTCCGTACTAATTTCTTTAGTTGGCAGTTTCTACAAGCTTGAATGTACAGTTGGATGCCTTTTTTCATTCTTGGCCAATAGTAATTATTTTGAATACGTTTATAGGTTTACTTATGCCTTTATGTCCACTGATGGCTGACGAATGATTCTCTTGTATAATATTATCACGTTCGTCAGGCGTGGGCGTCCGTATTAAGTTTTCGGTGGTATCTCCTAATATATTCTTAATTCTATCATGAGTGTATTCCCCCACGGCACACACGTCGTCGATATTACCTTTGCTCAAAGAGAAAGACTCGAGACCTAGCTTTGTCACTACATCTAATAAAGAGTAAATTGCTTCTTCAATGGTTTCTCATTCGGTTAGTTTCGATACACGATTTTTAATATAGTTAGCGTTATTATTTTTCGTCGCTTATACGGATGTGATCGCGCGCGAGCTAAGGTAGTATCCCTGACGTTCGTTAATAAGCCGTGTCGGCTAACAATAAGTAATATCTCTTGTGAATTTTACGTTTTAAACTTTTGTCGGAATAACGTTTTCAAAATTACGGAATAATCTATCATGAGTCTGAAAAATGTAAAAATACTTTTGCATTTTCTAATTTTATTAACACATGTCAATATATTCAAAGTCAGTTTCATGCACACACCCACAAATCTGACGATATTTATGTAAAAAGCCTAAGTTGTCATGGTAAGTATTTATAGTAACACATATATGTATTCAGAGATAATACAATATTTAAATAATTTTTCCTAATCGACAGATCATGAAGACTGAGAAATCCTTGCTCTAACGCGAACGCGAGTGAACGCACGGGGATTTCTCTCGTTAAAATAATCGAAAATGTCTTACACTAATGTTCTGTTCGTCACACATTCACTCCACGATGTTGTGTTTACCACGACTCTTTTCATGCACTTTTCCGCGCGGTTCGTAAGTCCTCGACTATGTTCGGAGACAGTGCCGTAGCGCGCTGTCCTATCTCCACACTCCTCCCTGCTGAATCCTCTAGTCGTGTCCGAAGCGCTGAGGTGGAACACCAGCATTGATTCTAGATGATCGGCGCGGTCCTAGTTCAGCGAGCTGAACAATGTTTTCCATGCTTTCATCTTGGGCACTTTCGTACGAGGTGTCGGCATCATCGGAGTCCACATGAGCTGCTGCCTGTGGATGTTCGCGCTCAGGCCGAGGGATGATAATTGGCTCGATGTCGGTGTCTGAGATGTCGTTGATGCCAAATGCGTCAATGATTTCGTTTGGTGTGTGACGCAATTCGTCCGTCTCCAAGTTTGATCGTGTAGTTGACGGTGCCTAGACGGTTGATGATTATCGCTGGCGTCCATTGCCAATCTGTGTTGGTTTTGTGTAGCTGGTAGTAGACACTTTCACCGATTACAAATTCCTTCCAGCGCGCTCCGTGAGCTCGGTCGAACTGACGGGCCAGCATTGTGTCACGCTGAGAGGACAGTTGCTCTTGAGGGTGGAGCAAGTCGAGGCGAGTCTTCATGGTGCGGCCATTCAATAACTCGGACGGGGACTGAGGGTGCGATTACATGGAGCGCGGTTCTCGGTTCTCTAGCTGCCTAGTTAGTTAACCGCGTACCGCGTACCGCCTATTCCTTTTCCCTGATATTACATGGAGCGCGGTTTGCTGCACGGGCTAGTGACAAACTCACATTAGTATGTGTTGGGTAAACGGCGAATGAGACGCCACGGGCATGTGCCCGTCACACGTGCCACCGGGTAATCCGTCAGTAGCGATGTGGTCGAGAAAAGTAATTGACTTCCTCTTATTTCACATTAAATTTATTGCCGTTCACTGGGATACAAAACTGTGTTGGAGCAAAAGAAATCACACGTCGAATGCTCTCGAAAAACTTCGTTGTTGTCTTAACGGAAAACGGACTTGTACTCCCTCTGTACGTACACGAGAGCTCTGTACGCCCTCTCTAATAATGCATGTTGCGCCGAAAGCAACTAGACATGCGATCATGACGCGAGACCGTGCATGCCGCGAATACAATCCTGCGCGGACGGTGAATAATACATAGCTTATGTCTTAAACTATGAAAACGTAAATGAAACAATGAAAGTTTGACTAATTATTATACAGTATGAATTTTTTAAAATATATTAACTTATTTTTATGTACACTTTATCGATACTCTTATTTTTTAAATAGATTTACTTAATAATTGCGTTTAAATCAATTAATTCCATTAAAAAGTGCATAGCAACGTATAGTAATGTGAGTTTATTACTAGCCCGTGCCGCAAACCGCGCTCCATGTAATATCAGGGAAAAGAAATAGGCGGTACGCGGAACGTGGTTAACTAACTAGGCAGCTAGAGAACCGCGTACCGCCCTCCATGTAATCGCACCCTTATTGTCGAGCTTGTAAGACGGTGTGAAGCGGTAGGTAGTGAGGAACTCTCGAAGCTTCTGGTCGGCGTTTCCAGTTGCCTTTTCCAGTCCATTCTTGAGGATGTCGACGAAGCGCTTAGCCCTGTCATTCGACTGAGGGTAGTAGGGCGCTGTTAGAATATGTTCAACGCCTGATTGTTCACAGAAGGTTTTGAATTCCTGTGCGGTGGACTGAGGTCCGTTGTCCGTGACGAGCGTGTCGCAGAGACCGTGCCGAGCAAATGTCTCTCTGAGCATTTCGATGGTCTTGACAGATGTCATTGAGGAGGACTTGAAGACCTCTGGCCAGTTGCTAAAGGCATTAACGATAACCAGGTAATAAGCCCCATTGACGGGACCTGCGTAGTCGGAATGGATGCGAGACCATGGTTTCGTTGGAATTGGCCATGGTTGTAGCGAGCATTTTATGGGCGACCTAGCATTTGTTGCGCAAGCTTCGCACGCCTTGACGGTACATTCGATGTCAGCAGTGATTCCGGGCCAGAAGACTTTGCTGCGAGCAAGGAGCTTCATACGGGTGCAGACTGGTACTGGGTGACCAAAGTGGAGTTCCTCAAGGATCTGTTTACGGAACTGAGATGGAACAACGACACGATCGCCCTGTAAAAGACAATTCTAGCTGACAGTTAATCCTTCGCATTGATCGAAGAAAGCAGCAACTTCGGGATTCCGGATCTGGTTGCGCTTCTGTGGTCATGAGGTATTGGTAAATTCAATGACCTTCTTGAGTGTTGCGCAACGCTGTGTGGCCCCTGGATATCGGTGAATTTGACCGGGAGTAATTTTGCGGCATCGATTGCAAAGCACTGCTCTTCCTCCTCCCCCTCTTGAATTGTTGCGATGACGATTTCTTCGTTTTCTCGTGGATGTTTGACAATGAGGCGAGAAACGACGTCGGCGTATCCAAAACTTCCGGTATTGACGTATTTAATATTGAAATCGTAGGCGAGTAAGGTCAGAGCATAACGTTGGAGGCGGCTTGCAGTGTAAGCCGGGATGCCCTGTTTAGAGCCGAAAATCGTGAGGAGAGGCTTATGGTCGGTGTGGAGCTCGAATTTGCGACCATAGATATACTTGTGAAAATGTTTAACAGCGAACACAAGAGCGGTGGCTTACCGTTGAATCTGCGAGTAGTTCTTTTCAGCTGCTGTGAAGGTTGATGAGACGTACATGATTGGATGCAGTGTTCCGTATGGAAATTCGTGCAAAATGACTCCTCCTTTGCCGTAGCATGAAGCGTCGGCTGCGACTACGATTTTCTTGACAGGATCGTAATGAGTGAGGACTAGATCTAATGCTAGGATTTCCTTGAGTTTGTCGAAGGCATCCTGATGCTTTTGTTGCCACTCGAATTTAGCGCCTTTGAGAGTGAGCTCATCGAGGGACATACGAAGATCTTTAATGTTTTTAACAAATTTTCCATAATAGTTGGCTGTCCCGAGGAACGAACGGAGCTGATGAATATCACGCGGTGCTGGAATGGTTTGAATGGCTTGGATCTTCTCGGGATCTGGCTTGACGCCTTGTGCGTCGATAATGTGTCCGCAGAAAAGGATACTTGGTCGAGCAAACTCGCATTTTTCGATTCGGAGTTTGAACCCGTAGTCTTGGATGCGTTCGAGGACGTCGAAAAGGAGCTTGTCGTGTTCGCTTTTGTTAATTCCGCCAATAATGATGTCGTCGATGAATGCAAAGGCGCCATTGAGTCCTGCGAGCATCGTCATGAGTTCTTGAAAAATGCCTGGTGCTGTCTTAACTCCGGGCTGCATGCGGGTGACCTGGAAGAGTCCCAAGTGTGTGTTGATTGTGAGCAGCTTCTTTGCGTCATCATCGAGCTCGAGTTGGAAGAAAGCATCCGAAAGATCGATTTTGGAGAAAACACAATTGCCGGCGAGGCCGGTGAAAATCTGATTCCACAGACTTCTATACACTACTAGACTGATAACTCTCTAGATTTCTCTTATGTAAAATGTTATGAAGAAGCATGTACTAAAGTTACTCATTCTGCGCTTGCGCCACATGCTTCTATGCAATACGCATGTGCGTACGCATTGTAGTCACAAATTTCTAGAGATCGTAGTACAATACATACAGTATAATCTATAACTTCTCCCATATATTGTGATTTCGTGATAAATTGTGCTCGAGTATGACTCTAAAATGTGCCATCCCATCGTGCAAGAGTTTAAAAAATGATAATAAAATTTCTTTATTTAAGTAATGTGTCAAGAAAAAGTACATAATAATTACAATGCTGTCATATACAATTAAAAATAATGTTAGAGAAATATTCTAAAGATGCTTAATATAAAAGATGTTTAATATAATTACTTAGATTTTTAGATTTCCTATGCAAGTACCAGTGGTACTGGTTGAGGCTATCTTTGTCTTCTGATACCTGAAAACGAAGATAGCCTTAGTCGCAGTTACACTTTTGGTTGCTATACCAGAGGCACGCCAAAATTAGCCTTTAATTATTTATTTTATGTGCACTAATCATAAAATTATTTCTTTAATCATTCTAAAACATATAATCCAGTTAACACACAATTCATCAAATTTAACCTAATTGAAACATTACTACTATTTACGTATGTATATGCGTCGTCAAAGCGCGTGCGCAGAATGGATGACTGATTTGTACATAGAAATTCCGCCGCCTTATACATAAGAAGTTATCAGTCTAGTAATATATAGAAGTCTGTGTCTGATCCGGTATTGGTAGCGGAAATTTGTTCGGTTCGAGAGCGTCGGTAAGGCCAGTGGAATAGTCGCCGCAAATGCAAGTTTTGCCATTCTTTTTCTTGACTATGACGATGGGTGCTGCGAACTCTGAGAACGTGACTGGCTTGTAAACCCCGAGGTGCTGTTGACGCTTAATTTCCTCTTTAATAGCGGTTGTTGCTGCAAATGGAACCGGTCGTTGTTTGCGGAAAATCTTTTGTGTGCCTGGCTTGAGAGTGAGCGAAACTTTTGTTTTAGTACATAGCCCAAGTCCGTCAGTGAAAAGTTGTGGGAATTTTGACTTATGTTAGCCTTGCTTGTGATATTATCGGCAGATGAGTCTATAGCTATGGAATTGCAGACTGAGGCAAGTGGGACGTTCCACAGTTCGAGTTGCTCGATCCAGTCGATGCCGAGTAAATTGAGGCGTGTTGAAACAAGTAGATAATCTAGATGTACTTGAAATCCACAGACACGGTCATCGGGGGGGATAGCCAATCGCGTGGCTGCTTTATGCTTGTGTGCGTGACTTCTTTGATTGTGTGTGTGTGATTTAGAAAGCGAAACGCGGTTTTTTCAAGGTTACGCGCCTGTGGTGGGGGCGCCGGTCGGTTGCCACGGGGAACGCGACGCTGTCGTCGCGCTCGACGCTGACGGCGGAGCGAGGTTAGGGCGCGCGCTTCGCGAGGTTCCCCGCGCTTTTCGACAGGTCGCGCGTGCGCGCTCACGCTGCCATCATCGTTTACTTGAAATTTAAGTTCCGCTCTCGCGTACCGCGAGTGCGATGCGCTCGTAATCTTGGGTCAAAAGGTCGCGATACGCTATCGGCACGGTGACAAGGTCTAACGATGAGTTATGTTGCGCAGGACAGAGTCGATCCAATTATTTTTTGCAAGAAGATAGTAGGATACGACATCGAGATACGAATAACTTATTATAATGTAAATTTTTAAATTTTATTTGATACGAAACGGTTGTGTAGTGTACAATTGATGCATTCAGCATGTTGTTCCATCATGGTCACGCGTACCTCGGAGAAAATCGTTTTAATAAAAAAATATTGTGACCTCGTAACGGATGAGAATCGTTCTGTCAGCAGTCGATGTTATCATCGTAGATAATATTATTCAATCTGAAAGAAAGAGAGACATCGCATCCGACATGATGAGAGAGGTCTCGTTTTTTTTGTTTTCCACGGTGTTTGGTATAAAAGGGCGAGACATCTTTTAGTGTCGTCAGTGTAGTTATTCTGTTGATCGAATGTGCAAAGCGATGGATTCTCAGAGTAAGAGTAATCACGATGAATTGTCGATTGTGTTGAACGAATCTACGAATGACGATTTCGTTGTTGACGACGATGACGAGGACGAAGATTTGATGTTGGTTAATGCGTCAGCTATCGGTTCCTTACTTGATGTGATACACAGCACGTGGATTGAACACATTTTAATAATGAAAAATTTGAAAGCAACATTAGCATGCATACACGTTTACATGTCTAAGCAATCAAAAGAGGATTCTAATACTACGCGCTTGAAGGAGGCTCAGACAATGAAGAATGCTCTATTAATGTTTAATGAGTTTCTGAAGAAAAAAGGTTGCACGAATATGAATTATTCCGCGAAAGAGCTTCATCGGTTTCTCGCGATGTCTGAAAATAAGCCGTTGCGTTCCATGTTTATGGATATTTTTATCAGTGCTGATAATTACTTTGAATGGATAAAAGATTTGAAGGAGTCTATCAAACGTCAAGTGTCGACGGTATATGAAGTATTGAAGAGAAGAGTCGATGCAGAGGCTTCGTCGGATGGAATTGGAGGTGTGGAGACACTCTTCGCCTCAGCCGTTAAACGAAGCAGGACCGACGGACTTTCTCAGTACGTCACTAAATTGGACAATGGTCGTATTTACACCGCGAGATCACCGGAGATGGACACCGGACACAAATTGATTCGACTTGACATTTACAATGTCAACGATATCGAGGGGAAGGAAAAACGTCAGTGGTGGAGACACGCGAAGATTCGATCGCAATTTTTGACAGTTTCCAGCACAGATCGTAAACAGCTCATGTTGGATCGTCTTTTGGATTGTGTCGCCGACGATTTAATGAAAATACCTGGAATAACGAAGGAAGTGAATAATGTGTATTTTTAAATGGATGAGTGTTCTCTTTCATCAGTTTTTAAAACGCAGATATATCTATTGCTTAATACTTCTCTCGTCGACCACATCCGCTGTGCAACTGAATAAAAAGAGGGACATATCATGCAACGTTACTATCAGACGAGCACTCGCAATGAAAACGTCTCGTCAACATGACGCCAACATTTGTCGATTTGCAGCTCAGGTAGCAAATATACGTTATTTTGACGTCAAATTTGGGTCATTTACTGACCATGACTGCCGTCACTAAATGACGTCTTAATGACGTACTAATGACGTACTAATGTCGCAAAATTATTGACGTCATTGCAAGGACGTCATTTTAACATCATGTTCCCAGATAACAAAATGCGCGCACAATGGTCTCACAGTGCATTCACGCGTGCAAAATTATCCGCACGCGTGAATGTCATGCGCATGACAGAAGTGTCCTCATTTGGGTGCCATATTGCTCGCACGCATGTGGACGCACACAAAAAAAAAAAGTTACAGCAGTTCTTATTAATTAGATTTCTTTCTCCATCATTTGTGTCCTCTCCTTAAGTGCTGAACTGACTAATAATACCTAGGAAAAAACTTTTAAACCTGATAGGATTTGAACTCGTGACTTGATCCATGGTCCT